TAGCCCAAAGAAGAAATACATCACAGGAAAAATAAACTACCCAAACACTTTGTGTTTCCCAATGAAGACTTAGGTGTTCCCAAATTATAATTGAAAATACACTTTGGAATTAAAGGTTTCTTCTATCATTAATGACAGCCACAGAAAAGTAAGAGCTTTAAACACTTATACTAATGAGAGGAGAAAATTTTTGGCTTTCCTAAAATAGCACCAATAACCCACTTTTTCCAGGAATAGAAACAATTATCTTCCTAAATTAGCTTCTAGACAGACATCATTTTTCCTTGGTGTTAGTTAAGTATCACATAAAGATCTGACAGAACACTTTGCAGTTAAGTAGGAGGTCCTAAAGATTGGAGGGAAATGTGAAAAGGCCCTTAACAAGTAAAAGTGAGGGAAAAGTAGGGGAAGAAAATGTGTTAAGAACATAAGGAATTCCTCACTCTGAGTGGCTGTGTTTATTCTTAATTATATCTTTTCATTATTAGCTCAGCATATGTGATATACAAAAGTTTTCTTTTTCAGAGTTGTTTATACAACTGTTGTTAGCAGTGCAGTTTCTGGCACCTAACTTCTGAATTTGCAGATTGTTCTCAAAACTTTAGAACCAATTGCTGTTCCTGACAGTAACCAATTTCTAGTTTAGTAGCTGTGACCCTCTGGGGAATATTTAGATTATGAACCTCTCAGGCAATTCAACAGACATTTTGTACAGTTCTCAGACTACTTTCCTTTCTTCATGCACACAGCATTTCTGATTTTACCCTATTTTACCCATTTTAATGAATAAGTTCTCATGCATGAAAATTAATCCAAAGAGCAGACAATTTTCTAGTGTTAACAATATTTAATAGCAATTTAATTGGCAGATTTCTGGTAGTAACAATACTCAACATTCTATTAATTTGACCAGTGCTATAATCTTCAAGCGTATTTCACAAGGAACCAGAAAAGCAATCATACTTAGCAATGTACTCCATGACTGTCAGGTTCAACTACACAAAGAAAAGTAGTAGGAATATTAAAATTAGCTGTCTGGGAGTGTTAAAATCCTATATAGGCATTCTGTAGAGTAGCTGGGCCTGTATGCATCCCAAGTAGCCTTCTGTGTAATCACATTGCTTTATATATTAGGCTCCGCAGGAACAATATTTTTAGGTGTTATATAAATATTATATATATTTCAATTATATTGTTCTTTTCCCAGTAATTCCTGTGATTGCAGGAATCAGGATTCTCATTTTCCCTGAGTGATTTTGTCAGTCATTTACATTTCCTAACTATATGGTGGGAAACATAAGCATGGTTTGAACAGCACCACTCAAATTAATTTTTCACATTTCTGAGATCTTGCACTTTCTGAATCCTGTTCATGGTTTCATATGTAAAGTCCTACCTGAAATGCTTGATCACTGACTTTTCAGTCTCAGTATTTGATGCCACTGATGCATGAGTGGGCATATAAGTCATTTTTCTGCTATCTAATAAGGCAATTGAATTTTTGTATTAAAGAACAGCTAACAAACACTCTTGTGCCCTAGCAAAGATTTTGTTCACTTGTAGGAAAGAGAGCTCAACCATCTCAGGAAGATCTGTGAATATAAGACAAGAAAGACTGTTAAATCAAAATATTTTGGGGGAATCTAAAGATCTACAGACTGTTTTTCAGCAATTGACTCCCCATCAAAGTCACAATATGCAGTTCTTCTTATGCAGAAACTTACTTGGTGTAGAGAAAAATGATATGGTAGGATTTTTCAAAGGGATGGGAAGATGTCATGTCTGCTGAACAGATTTATAGTTATGCAGATCATGTTAATGATCAGGATTATCTGTCTCAGAGTTTGGGATATAAATTGCTTTCTGTGGGGCTGAGGAAGTCATTCACCTCATTTCCTGTAGCAAATTGAATTTGTCTATGCATATTATGGGGCTTTTTATTGGATGGCTGAAAAAGGGAGGAAAAATTTACCTTCTTCTGAAGCACTAGGCTAGATAGCTAGCCTGATTAAGTATGACAAATTCTAGTTAATGAAATTACAGTAATATTAAAATATGCTGCTCCACATGTAATGGATTACTGACACTTTCCCCGAGATTGTGTGCAGCACAGTAGTGCATAAAGAGCAAGTCTGGCTCCTGCAGACTCATTCTGTGAGTAGCGCAAAACTGCGGTACTGCAGGCTGACCATGGCACACACAAGAAACTCATCTGATCTTTGGTAATCATTACACCAAGCCAGTCCCACCATTGGGGTAATCATTGAGGTAATCATTACCCCAATATTTCTGTGAATCTGTCATATCTAAATATGTTGGCCCACATGACAGCCCAGGCTTCCTCCCTTCAATTGCCAGAGGAAGAAGCAGGGCACCAACTTTCTTGCCTGTAAAACTGGCAGGCACCTAAAACACATAGTAGGCTAAAATGATTCCTATAGAGAGTGTAAGTGATGTTTGTAAATGTGTTGGGTAAAGCAGGAAGTTACAGAATAATCAGATTCAAGAAAACATTTTGTTTCTAGTGAAAAATAGTTGTAATGATCAGAATCAGAGAGTGAAGCTTGGAATCAGGAAGGAGGAAGCACCAGGGTGGAAGGGGAAGTAAGGGCAAGCAGATGGACCAAAGCCAAAGATGCATGTTCTGAAATAAATCAGCTGGCAAACAAAAGCTTTTTTCTTTAACTTCCATAGGCAGGACCTTACTGTCTTCGGACTTCTGCTTTCTTGCTGATGCCAGTGTGTTTCCTACCCACTGGCAATTTGGAAAAGAAAACAATTTGGAAAAGAAAACACTTTGTTGTTTTGGTATACGTAGGATTAAATGCAGGGACACCAATTGAATTATCCTGGTTTTACAGCACTGTAAATGTTAGCAGACTCTGGCTTCTCGTTTCTGGATATTTTAGTACTCTATAAATATGGCAGATAAGTCAGTCTGCTATACTTAGCTACTATACAATTTTTTCTTTGCTGTTGGAGTCCCAGTGAGTTCACCTTAAAATTAGTCCACTGATTGATTTGTATTCCACAGAGTGCTCATTACTGCTCCAGTTAATGCACAACTAACTGTACCCAAGAACATAAAACATTACCCTAAAAATGGTAATTTCAAGCTTTCATTATAAGCTCTTTTTCACAGGTTAAAGTCTGTATAGCAGTAATTAAGACAATTTACTTTGGTGTGGCTGTGTGTATTTCACATATATTCCTACAAGAAAAACTGTAGGAGATATCTACGTTAGAATTTTCTTAGAACACTTTTTTGTTTTCTATACAATTTTAGTGATGGGATTGCAGAACATAGGGGATATGGGACTCACTGCGCAGTCCAAACGTCCCCCAAGAGCCAGTCTGTTTGCATTTGTGTTGATGCCTTAGCCATATTGCAGTATCACCACTGATACTTAGAGCCAGTGCTGCTACTTAACAGCAAACCTAGCAAGTTCAGATCAGGGCTGTGCTAACAGACCTTAGGGATTGCAGAGGGAACAGTTACAGCAGAATAACCTGGACGGTGGCTTCGTTGAAGTCACTATTACCTGCCCTCACCGCTCACTGATGTCCAGCATGCTCAGTACACATATTGCATTCTCTCTGTATGCAGATAAAGATTAGATGAGGCCACAGCTGCATTTCTATATAAACAATATTCAAAAAAAAAAAAAAAAAAACCAAAGAGGAAACCATGGGAATATACTGAATTTTGTACTTGCCATTGCACTAGTCTGTAAAGACCACAGGCATTCCAGCACTATGTTGATAAGTAATTAGCCCAAAGCAGATGGGAAATCATGCTGTCTCCCCAGGAAGTTAATGCAAACTAGTTACACTATTTATATGTTGTTGAGGCTATCCTGCTAAAATATGTTTTGAATAAATACCAGAACTCTTGATATTTCAGTTAAAAATAGTAAAACCAAACACTGGATTTGAAATTAGCTTCACATGTATGCTGAAGACAGATCATGAGTTCCCTCTATTCATAAATAATCATTCTTGGGATTAAATCGTATTTAACTTGTTTACAATGCATCTTTTTAAAGACACCTGCTTTAAATCTATAGTTTTATTTGCCACTTCACAAGAGGACTGAACTTGCTGTACCTTGCCTCAAAACTTGAGTATAAATAATGAAAGATTAATTCTGAACTTGATTGGTGCTTTCTTACCATATATACTGCACTGTGTTATGTACTTTTCTTACCAAAAGAATTGGATGATGATCAAAGAATCACAATTAATATTAAAGTTTAATGAATTTGGAAATTTTTGGCAAATTATTCTGGAAGATGCTTCCAGAAAGACAGATTGGAAATTCTTTTCTTTTTGTATCAAAATGTCTTCTCTCTCCCATAACAGTTCTCTCTCTATATATATACATACATATGACAATAATCAGCATGCCCTTTATTTAGCTGAACAAAGAATAATCTGTAAAGATGCTGTTACGTGGGCATCATTTAAACAGGTAGCTCTGATTCCGAATCTAACATCCGTGATTGTTGGCCTGTGAATATTATGAGAAGTGCCCAAGAATGTGGAAAATCAGAAGAGGAAAGGAAATAATAATTCTATTTTTGTAATCTGTATCCAGACTTTGATCTGTTACTTTCAGACTATTGAGTTTTCTTAAATCTAATCCTAGCTGGCAGGGGAAAAAAAAAAAAAAAAAAAAAAAAAAAAAAAAAAGAGGGCTGTGTTGGATTAAACTTTTATTGTTTCAAAATAAGAAAGTTTTGGCATCATAAGTCATGGCTTATGCACTAAAAATCATTACTATTACTGTATACTTGAAAATCCTGGATCTCAAGAGAGAAATATGTCTTCAAGAGAGAAATATGTCTTCAGGAATCAGTCAAGGCATGAAAGTAATGATATTCTAAAAGGCAGTGAACTTCCTAGCTGATATAATAGTCTCCATACTCAGCCAGAAAAAAAAAATGGAACATAATTGTATGACCTGAATGTTATTGGATACAACTATTTCTATTTAACAGGTTATTTCAATGAGGATAATCGAAGTGATCCTGAACACTCAGGGGACAACACCAGGTATTATCAATCTACCAAGAAACACTTTGAAGAGAAAAGAAGTGGGTCGTCATCCTTTGTGTCGTCCATTGAAGATGAGCAAAAACCCCTGTTCTCTGGGATAGCTGATTATCCATCTGTAACAGGGAAAACCACCGAGGTTGACATTGAGGAAATGGTTCATGAAGCAGAAGATATCCTTATTGACAAAAGAAGCGATTCTTGCAAAGGTAATTAAATTGAGTGCTATTTTGCAAAGTATGAGTAGTTGTCTTCATTGGTTTTATTGTCAAAAGTAATTTTCTGAATGGTTCTATTGATTTGTTGCACAGTAGTTACCTTTGTAAGTATTTCATGAGTGAGTAAATAGAAAACTTTTGGATCTAAAAGAGTATGCATATACTTTACTACACTGGCTGTGAAACTGGAGTACAAAACTTCCAAAAGGCTGTTCTAGGCTTCATCAATGAATCATCTTGTAGCTGGATTGCCTGAGAAAATTTGTTTAAACAATATTTTAAAGTTGTCCACCAGTAATGGATATCACTTTTACATGTCTGTGCAAAACTATACGGAAATTGCTTTCAAAGCTGTAAGGGGAACCTTGAGGAGAGCCTGATAATCCAGGGTTTGGTGGCAGTACAAAATCCTGCTTAGTCAACGAGAGTTCGATGAATCTAGATGGTCACATAAAAGAAAACCTGAAATGTCTTCAGGCAATTAGCTTGTGAACACAAAAATTAATAAAATTAATTGTTAATAGCTTGAAAGACAGTTATTCCATTTTGCTGCATGAGTTGATTAACCGGGATGCCGTTACAACACACAGGACAAATCTTGACTCCAGTAAATAAAATATAAGAGCAAATATGTGGCCTTTTTATATGAAAAATTATCAACAATGATCAAGCAATTTGAGTTATTTTTTACATAGCGTTAAATCACATAATTGAAATGATTTCTAATACACTAAAATCATCTCATTGATGTTACAGGAAACTAATGAAAAGAATATACAATTCAAATATTGCTGAACATTTGGTTGTAGTTGTTCCAGTCTGAAGGGAAGAATTATGTATTCAGTGTTTAATGCTGTTTTCCTATGCAATTTGCTTCCTGTTGGAGCAATTAACCTTTTAACCATCAGTCAATAAACTTCAGGCTTTTCAGCTATAACTGTAAACTATCCTCATGATTAATGAGACCAAACAATACATTTTTTACATTTCAAAGGTGTGACTGTGTGAAGCCTGGTCACCTTTAGCTAGGGTCATGTAAATCTGAGCCATCCAAACTTGTTGCATACATACCACAATTTGAAAGTTTACCTTTCCCTTGCCGGTAGCCAGAAATTTGTCCTTGCAGCTATAGCAACATTTTCCAAGGCAACCTACTTCAGATTTTATTTGAGCTAAATTTAGCATGCCTAAAGGTTATATATTTTGATTAAGATCACCTTCTTTTTTTCTGCTTTGTAACTGTTCATTTCTTATAATATGTTTGAAAGCTCATTACCAGTCCTGAAAAGGCCATAAAAAAAAAAATTATTTCAATGAAAGAAGATCAGATTGACATATGTTTTAAACTAAATTCTCATTCCTGCTATTAATTAGCTTTAATTAGTTTTAAATTTCTATAAAAGTAGATATGAACATAATTAAATTCTGAAATAAATTCTTCATTTACATATATAGGTATATTTATAATCTTCATATAATACAGTATCTTATAATTCTTTCCTATAAATGAATTTACATAAACCTTCCACAATTGATTATTACTGTGACCAAGAGAAATTTATCTTTATTTTGTTTTAACTTTTGGTCACTACTGTCCACAAGTGGAAGTAGTATTAATAGGGTATTTAGTCATGTGGGCAGACATTCAATCAACTTCTTTCTCCTAATCCTGAAAGGCAACTTTTAATATTGCTTAAATCATGTGTTTATATTGCTTGTCTTTTATGAGAAGTCTTGATAATCTTTATGTAATGGCTAATCCATGTCCTGAACAAAAAGCTATTTTCTGTTCTCATTTGTTCAGTATTTGGGCCATAAGATTTATTCTTGAAACAAATTATACATTTATTGATTTAATTCTCAGCCTAGGATTCTTCAGTTCCTGGAAGAACATAATTGGGTATAGGAAAATATGTAATAAGAAAATACGTAATTCTACCATATGACATCTTATATAGAAAACCTAACAACAACTTGGTTTTACAGGTCATTAAAAAGCAGTGAAATAAATATAATTAGCTTCTATTCCTGAAATTCAACGTCTAAAAGTAAATCCACTGGATTTACAATATCCATTGTAAATACGGGCACAGTTTTAAATTTCCCCCCTGAATTTGTTGAAGTTTGTTCCCTACACTTTGGTGAAAGCTTTGTAGCTTCCGTGGACACTGAAAATTGAGCCGTGTGTGGCAGCTTCTCCAAAACCCCTTTTCTCCTTCCTCGTGTTGGCTTAAGTGGGCTGAGAAGCTGAAGCTGTTTCTGGGTAGCTAAGACGAAATCGCCTCCTCCTTTCCATTCTGTACATAAAACCAGGTCGTGTCATATGAAATTCAAACACTCTCTACAGCTCCAGAAAACCTTCTACCACCCGCTAACCAAAGATCGGATAACACAGTAAGCACCTTTCTCTAATTAAAAAAGGTTTCTTCTCCGCTTGGAGTTATATACTGAGAGCTCCCCTTCCTGGATAAGTCTACTTGAAACTCTAAATCTGAGCAGGAAATGTCATTGCTACTCCTCTTTTATTTATTTATTTATTTGTTTCAAGGAAGACTGCTCAAAGATACTGTATTTAAGAGGGAATGGCTAAATAGCATTTGGACAAACCTCATACATGTCAGCCACACTCTGATTTTCCTCTGATGTTCCTCTTTTTTCCTTTGAAATATGGCTGTGGCTCCTATGGTTGCTTAAAAAAAAAATCAGAAGTGTGAAATGAATGTAACCTATGCTGAGTTACCAGCATGCAGTGCCAAGAGTTGCAGGGATGCACTAGGGCAAGCTCTGAGCAAACCATTCAGGGAAAACCAAGGGACATGGGATTCAAACTCAACTGCTCCTCCAGCAGCAGCTGCAGCCGAGTCCATTTGGGGCACTCCTATGGACTATGCCCAGCTGTCTCTTGAACCAGCACTAAATGAACATCTAATGTATTCTATAAAGTAATGCAACTACATAATTATGAATACTTGATATGACCCTAATGTGAATTATACTGATCAGGTGCTTAAGTTTTAACACAGCAAATGAAGTGAATTTGAGGGCTACTAAACAATTACTGCTGTTTATGTAACAACAGAATTTCTCAGAGAAACAAAGGCTGAGCTGGTGGGGAAAATCTCTGTTCACCTTAAGTATCTCACTGGTAGACTCTGCAAAGCTTATAGCAAGATAAACATCCTATATCAAGTATGAGTATGTGCAGCTAATATATCTCATGATAAATGATCTGTAATATTCCACCAGAGTTTAATGAACAGGAAAAAAAAAAAAAGAGCCTGAAGCCAGGAATGTAAACTAATTAAGAAATGCACAGAGGTGTAAGTTAAGCAAAATAATAGCAAAAGCCAGAAAAGTGAGCGAGAGGAAGGAGTGCCCCCGAGTTATGCGTGATAGCGAGCTGCAGTGCTTGAATGCAGAGAGCCGAGAATCAGGAGAGAGAAGCAGCACGGGCCTTGGGCAGCACTGCGCATGGAGGGAATGAAGAGCAGTTCTCACCTTGCACTAACAGCAGGAGAAAAATAAAGGACTCGCACATAAAAAGTGTAATTTCCTCTACTTTATATATTTCATATAAAATCGAAGGGATTAGAATGGGGATTAAATCGTGCGAGCTAGGTGAAACTTTGGCATGATCCTCATTATGCATTTTGGGTTTATTTAGTCTTGTAGAAAATCTGTTTCCAATATCTTACTCCAATATTTTGCTTTTCATTCAAATAGAAAAATATAGATTAATTCTTTATTATGAAGCTTCAAGTAGCATTAAAGTGACTCTCCAACTGACCCAGCAGTTGCAGAGCACTTCATTCTCTTAAGCATCACAAAGCATTAAATAAAATGAACCGGCACCTTTCACCCTGCAGGAACTGTGAGCCTCTAAAACATGCTTTACACAGCAACGTAAGAGCTGCTACATCAGTGAAAATCAATTTCCTTTTGAAAGTAATAACCAGTGTCCCTTTGCAAGCTTGCATTAAATGGCCTCTGTCTCAGGGAAAACACACTGCTTCACTAGGCTTGTTAAGACAAGCAGTGTTAGAGGCATCGGTAGGAAAGGCAGCCAGTTTGGGACTGGGAACTTTCCCCACAGTGTGCACTGCAATGAGTTGCGATTGCTGTACAGGCAACGCAGCAAGTCCTAGTGCTAATCAAAAAAAAAAAGAAAAAAAGAAAAAAAAAAAAAAAAAGGACTAAAAGCTAAAATGTAAATACTCTTTAAATAGTGCATTCAAGGGCAAGAGGAAATATATATGTGTAAAAAAGATATATAAGTGTAAAGAAACAGGAGTCGTTAAATGGCAGAACTGTGGTAGTGTTAACTAGATAAACAGAATCACAGAATATTCAAGATTGGAAGGGACCTCTAGAGATCATCTAGTCCAACCTTCCCGCTCAAGCAGGCACACCTAGAGCATGTGGCACAGGGCGCCATCCAGGTGGATGTTACGTTTATGCATGGCCTGTTAAACCTGTTATGTTTATGTATGGCTTCAAAATATTAGTATATTGCTGTCATTATCTTACAATTTTATAAGTTTTTAGTGGGACCACTATTGTTTTTTTCCTTAAATAATGGTAAAGAAGAAAGATCCTTTTCAGGCAGCATACCTATTTACAGAGGTTCAAAGTTCTGAGAAACACTGACCAGTGGGATGTTTGAATCATCATGAAATTCTCTATTAATTGCCCATTATCAGGCAGTTATGCACTTCACAATCAACAGCCCTTCTCTATCAGCACGTTTATAAAATCATACTTTGCTTTACTTTTGTTTTCTGTTAGATATCACTGACAAAAGAAACTGGGAGCAGGAGACCATCAGGGAGTACCAGGAGTCCCCGAGTCGGTCAGCGTTGCCCCATGTTACGTGGGGCATCTGCGAAACCGAAAGCGACTTTATATACGGGGAAGTCGAAAATCGGTTAGATTTACTTCAAGAACAGCTCAACAGGTAAGGAAAAGAAGAAGAAGAAGAAAAAAAAAAGCTATGGTAAAAACAAAAGATCCACGTGAAAGGGTCTATAATACAACTGCTATTAGTGAAGCTAAAGGAGAAGTGATTTGGACAGGAAGTTTCCAAAAGCATTTGTATCTTCAGAAGCCTGAAAGTATAGAAATCTACCAACTGCAAATATCACTTTGGTGTCTATATGAAAGTGTAGCAGCTTAAACATCACCTAAATTCAGCCCTCCAAATTCTTGGCATATCTTCTCCTGGGTCTGCTGGGTACAAAATTTTTGATTTTCTGGCAGCATTTTCACATCACTTACCTCTAGGTATCCACATTTAGCTCTTCTAAAGTACCTTGTAGAACAGTCTTTTTTCTCAGTTGACTAAAGAGGTCTGCTTCGAAATCTACCTTCTTACCAAGTATCCTTCTTACCAAAGGTGTCCAGACACCTTTGTGAAGCACCTAAACCCAGGAAACTTTAATCTTATCTCCAGAATTTTGATTCCTTAAAAGTGATTTATGGATATTTACATGTCCACAGAATCAGAATTTTTAATATCTTAGAAACATTTATTTTTCCTGGATACACAAACTTTTTGAAAAGAGAGTATTTATATTGAATTAACTTGTTTTGTAATTGCCTCTATGATAAGCAGACATGGAATTACAGCAGAGTAAAATACTTACACCTGCTACAATGGAAAATAGTCACTTTTGCTTAATAAAATCCTTCTCTTTTGGTATCTCTATAGTACTCTTTGCTGTCAGCTAAGCAGCAGAGCTTATGTCATCTTAAAAATATGGTTACAACATTTTGATCTGTCATACGCTATAACTTACCATATAATTTCACCTAATTTTGAATTGCCCTATGCCCAGGTCTCTGACTTTTTTATCATTTTTGCTTGAAATTTCATTACTTTCAAATTTTTCCATGACAAATACTATGACATGCATTCAGCCCTAATTACATTTTAGTAGTTCTTCAGTGGCGTACTGTGCTGTGTATTTTAACAATCAGCTTAAAGCCAGGTTAACTGCATATTGCTTCTTTAATCTTCTACAAGGCAATCAAACCACAGATTTTTTTTTATTTCTGAATACCATGTAGCACATTAAAAAGACAGATTTTTCACATGTAAGTCTAAATTGCTATAATTTCTAATTGCCATACAGTCAAGTATCAACGCCATAACTGTATATGTCACATAGCCAAACATCTGCATGATCCTGAGCAACAGAGAATGGAGTCTTTCATTTTTTCTCCTGAAATTCTAAGCTTTTGAAACCAAGGTTATATATCAAATTTATCTAAAGGTTTAAAAAAGTCTCACAAACTTCTCAATATTCTTTTGGAGGGACAGAATATCACTGTTGCTGCTAAACTTAAGATGGATTTTATTAAAACATTTTATCCTCAAACTCTTCCTATCTATTTAAAGCCTTTCATGCATTCAACATTTGGGACATGGATGAATCTTATTCTATCAACATGACAAGCAATATACTTCTGCACTTATGTCAGATCTACTCCACTAAACTACAAGGCAGTACCCTGCTGTGCTGAAAAGCTTTTCCATCCCAAGTCAGATGTTCCACTTGTATTGCCAAATCAACACAGAAAGTTGGGAGACTTCTGTAGCAGGAATATGTCCCCCAGCGCTCACCCTCTCACTCCTCCATAGGCTGTTGGAATCTCATGGAGACTCCTAGCCAAGCATCCAGGTTCTCCAGTTTGTTTGCCCTTAGTTGGCACGACCTGGGCTTGTTTGGAATTTGGGAACAAGGAAGGAGAAGTTGTACATGCAGTGATGCTGAATAAAGACTCAGAGAACTCTTATATTAAGAGTACAGGCAAACTTCCATTAAATACTAGCAAAGTAAGAAGGGAACCGTTTTAGAGCTAATCTGGAGTAAGAGAAAACTGTTGCTGAAAGTCCTTCAATGCTAAAACCCTTCTCACAAAGATGCTAAGACTGAGGTTTAGCAGAGAGAAGCGCTTTGTGGCAGCTGCTGCTGCTGCTGCTGCGTTTTCCCCCGTGGCATCAGCCTCTTGCTTATGTGAGATCAGCATCCCTGCAAGCAGCAAAACCCCAAGGGAGCTGAGCAAGAGGTTGAGCTGGGCATAACCAACTGTAAACCCAGGGTTTGATCCTTGTATTATAAGAGCTTTTGTAAAAGCTGATGCCACAGAACCAGCCTATCTGTGCAAAGGATGAAACAGCTTCCTAAATATCCCATGGGTGCACATTGCACATTAATTTCATAGACATTTTAATAATAAGTGGCACAAATTATGGATGACTTCAGCACGATGAAAAATAATATCAAACAATGAAGCACCTGGCAAAGCAAAATGAGCCAGCACAGGATCAATTTTGTGGCTGCCATAGCCCAAGTTGTAACATTCACAACGTTAAGGGCTGCTGACATAGAGATTTGCTTACAAGCTATATTACTTTGTCAGTTGAGGAGTTGCAATGCATAAGGTTGTATATCCACGCTTCAAGCTGTCAGGCATCATATGTTTACCTGCTGGAAAGCACCTCCACGGAGAGGGACCTGGGAGTCCTGGTTGACACTAAGTTAACCATGAGTGAGCAGTGTGCCCTCGTGGCCAAGAAGGCCAATGGCATCCTGGCCTGCATCAGGAGGAGCGTTGCCAGCAGGTCAAGGGAGGTGATTCTGCCCCTCTACTCAGCTCTGGTGAGGCCGCACCTGGAGTACTGTGTTCAGTTCT